TTCTTATTTAAGCAATTGGAAATATTACTTAGAAAATGGTTTGGTATTCTGCTGGTACTTTACTTCCAAATACATTATTTCAAATTCCTCCTTTTAAAGTTTTGTGAAAGATGCAACAGCCCTAAGTCTGTTTCTACCGTGTAGGACTGATATATATTTGGGGATCAAACTACAAATAATAGTGGAGATTTCCAGAGGGCGAGAATTTGGTAGGTGGAGGGGTTAATTATTTTTATCTTAATGTGAGCGGCCAAAGGTTAAGCCCAGTTGTCAGAGACGTTAGTGACGTGGAATGTTAAGTTTCACTTTTGCTTTCATGTTAAAGCGTGAAACAAGTGTTCATGTCTCTTTGCTTTAGTTTGGGACATCTCAGAGATCTGAAGCCTGTTGTGGTATGCTATAAGATATTCTCAGCTTTCTAATTGTTTTTGCTAAATAGACTAAATGGCAGGTGGGAGCATTCTTCATGGTGGAGGAACATAAACAGGGAACTAGTATTATGAATGTGAAGACACTTGGACTGGTTAATCAAATGAAGGAAAGTTGGGATTTTACTGTTTGTCTGCAGCTGGTTACAATTTAAGGTTTAGTCAAAGGGGTTTTGTACATGATTTAGTGGGTGGTAAAAAAAGTGGTGGCAACTGTAATTGATCTCGACAGGCAACCTGCATGTTTTGCCAAGTTGCGATCCTGATTTAACATTTTGTGCATTTGATGAAAACTGTTTTTTCTTAACATTTTAGTAAATATTCATGACTCTAACCAAAAGGCACAAAGTGTAACTTCTTATTGCATAGCATTATTGATATACATAAACCGAGTGGATCTGCTGGATTGCTGTCCCAGTGGTATGCTTAGCAGTAGAAATATTGATTTAGTTTTATACAACCTGAGCAAGAAGATAGACATATGTGATAGACGGTTTCAGTTTCCTAGTCAAGAGTACAGCCAACGACACTGACAACCTCATAAAAAATAAATAACGTCTTTTTTTATGCAGACATAAAAATCGTTTTGAAACTTCAACAAGTTTCGAAGATCTAATTAAACTCTCTACTTAAAATGTAAAGTTTTATTTAACTGTTTTGACAGAAACTGGTGATCCTATGATGTTTTCCCAGAAAGCTTGGAGCCGAGTTTGGAGCCACCTTTTGGTGTTTGCATTATGTGAACTCATGACTCACTGCCAATCTCACAGCACAGGTATGAGACTAAGAGCACACCTTGTTTAACCTGGACAAAATGAAGCAGGATTTTAATGTGTGGTAGGAGACAAACAATAGAACCACACATTTAAAGTGATGTCAAAACTTTATTCCTTAAGTAAGATAACACATCAAAGGAAATTGGAAAAAAAAACATGGCCTGATCATGATCTTCTTTTGAATTTTGATGTCATAAACATTGATATATCAACAGATACAGAATTATCAATCTAACTAGAAGCACTGTACATCAAAAATATTCTTTAATTGTGAAAATATGTTTTTAAAAAAGCTTGTAGATTTTATGGGTTAATTACATGCATTGTGAAACATTTCCAGCCTTCATTACTTGAAATGTGTACACTGCAAAAACACAAAGCCTTACCAAGTATTTTTAGTCTCATTTTTAGTGCAGACATCTCATTACACTTGAAATATGTCAAAACTAACATACAAGTATCTCTTCAGAAAGACATGGGGGTTTGTAAATGTAAATAATTCCTTAATATTGGTGAAAAAGTGCATGTTCCATTGGCAGATAAATTTACTTATAACAAGACAATTTCCCCATGTTAAGACTAAAAATACTACTCAGACTTTGTTTCTGCAGTGATCACAGCGGATTTACTTTGTAAGTTGATGTGCAGCTATTGTTGATATATTTTGTTAAAACTGTAAAAGCTTATAAGATGGAAAACTGAATCTTTTCTCAGGCTTTTCAAAGCAGCGGACTCTCTTTTTGGTTGGAAAAACTGGCTCTGGAAAGAGTGCATCAGGAAACACCATCTTGGGCCACTCAGCATTTAGAGAAGACGCCTCGGCTGAGTCGGTGACAAAAACCTGTGAGAGACGAGAGCGACTGGAAGGAGACAGGAACATGGTGGTGATCGACTCCCCGGGAATATTTGACACAGATAAAACACAAGCACAACTCAAAGAAGACATTGAGAAGTGTGTTAAGCTGTCAGTTCCTGGGCCTCATGCTTTTCTGTTAGTGATAAACTTAAAGTCGAGATTCACAAAAGAGGAAAAAGACACTGTGAAGTGGATCCAGGATAACTTTGGCTCTGCTGCTGCTTCTTACACCATAGTCCTGTTCACTCATGCTGACTTGCTGAGAGGTAAATCTGTTGAGGACTATGTGGCAGAAAGCAAAGAACTACAAACTCTAATAGACAGGTGTGGAGGAAGATACCACTCATTAATCAATGGGCAGAGTTCAGACAGACAACAGGTCACAGAACTTCTGGATAAAATAGAAGAAATGATTCAAAGAAATGGGGGAGACCATTACACCAATAGTATGTACAAAAAAGCCCAGAGGGAACTGGAGGAGGAGGAGTTAAGGGCGTGGTGGGAGGAATATGAAAGAACAAAAAAGACAGAGGGGAGAAAGTGTAAATCTAAGTGTGAAGAAGATAAACAGGAGGCAAGAAAGCAGAAGGAGAGAAAGGAAAAACTTCATTTATGGTGTAGAGTTTTAAAAATGGCTTCCAAAGGAATGAAGTCTGCTAAGAATAACTACTTGACATCAATGGGAAAAGTTCTTGGTTTTGTCGTTGAAGACTGTGAACTTTTCGAGTATGTGTTTCCTTAAATCAGTGAGAAATGTGACAAAATGAACCAACAAATCACAACCATGAATGGATGAATACTACGGTGACAATGTCTAAATATCGTCTAGAGAAAACAAAGACCCATAATCCAATCTTGCTGTATATTGTCAATGTCTGAATAATTTAGGTTTTCTATTTTGGTCCTCTGATTCTTTATGTTTTGATTTGATTTGATTTTATTTCATTTTGGCCGTTGAACACTGTTTTCATCAGCATAACAGAGCTCTGCTCTTAGTTATTATCCTGATGCAACACACGCACAGTTTATGCTTTCTGCAGACACTTATTTACACTTAATATGTCCAACAGCTTATTGACATGTCTGGCAAATTTCTGATTGACGTAATGAAAACTGTGTTAATTTATTGATGATTTATTTATTTATGTTGCTTTTTCATTTGACAAGTCTAATTGCAACTTTTTGCTATTGCCTCCATGAGTAAGTCAGTGTCAATGTCAAACTTATTTATAAAACACATTTCCAACAGCTCATGCTTCCCAAGGTGCCTCAAGGTGCAATTAAGGATAAGTAAAATACATGACTATGGTACAATCACATATCAAGTGATAAAGATGTACATTGCATGTGTGAAATTGAGAATTATGTCTAAATACGAGGACTAAAACCTGAACAATAGGACCGTTTCTGTTTAATAATTTGAAAACCTCAAAATTAAAACTAAAACTATGAATGTGACAATTAAGATGTAAATATGTCACTTTTAACTATTGTAATTAAGCACAAATAGTAAATATTGTGTAACTACTCTACATATTTACTTCACTTTATCATTTAAAGATCATTGGAGGAAAAAAAACACGTTAGAAGCCATCAAGTGGTTTTAATTTAACTTTCTGCTCAAAATAATTTGCTTGCAATGAGAATGTTAGTTAAAAATGTCAAGATTAAAGTTGTAAAATTGTAAAATTGATTGTATTTTTTGTTTTGTTTGAGTGTGTTGTTTCTTTTACATTTGATGTAAAGAAAGTTGCACAGGATGGTTGCTTTGTTTTGAAAAGTTTGAAATGATTTGTATAATTTTGCTGGATTTTGTGTAATGCAAAACTCTGTATAAATAAATACTTAATGAAACATGTTTTAAGTTTGTGTGAAACTTTTCTACTAAGTTAATTTTAAGTAACAATACCACATTTTTACCACATTTATTTTAAAAGTTAGTTGACATCGTCTGTGCTGTTTAATAGCCAGCTGCTCTCAGCTGTTTTACAGACACAGGTTGTCATGTGCTTTTTTTATACATCTATCCTGTTAGCACAACAGGAGAGATGGATAGAGCTCCTTTAATTTAAACACCTCCTTCCCTCTTGCAACTGTAAATATTTGCGATAAGCTGTTTGTCTTTTCTCCAAGCAAATATGACCAGTATTGTCCCAAGTCAAGTCTGAGGCACAAAGGGGAGCAAATAACTCAAAACCCAAGAACCAGAAATCAGGTTGAAAATAATTTATACCAGTTCCCCTTAGCAGTAGACTCAGTAAAACAGTTATTTTCTATATATTTTCCACAGTCCAACAATTGTCTTTTAAAGTCAATTTGTAAAATTTATTGTGCTATCATGACTATCAATCCAGATATTTCAGAAAGCCAAGATTTACCGCTGTGGTTGCTCCTCAGACAAACAGATATAGTTGAGGAGCGATTGGTTTTCAAGATGTAGTGGAGATTTAATAAAGAAAGAAATTATGATTTAAACAAAAAAAACTTAAGTAGTGCAACCAGGGCCTAAACTCATGATGCCAAAAGATGAGAAATCTGAAAGGAAAACCCAAATAACAACTATATATGTGCCTCAAACTCGTTGCTGACAGAGCTTCTTGCTTCCATCCAGCACCCCTGAGATAACTTACTGAAAGGAAACACTTCAGGATGATGTAAGCTCCATTGTACAAACACTCGCACCAGGAAGTAAGAAACGTCATGTGTTTATTGCAGAAATCCTCAAAATTTCCTGTCACATTAGGGGTCTAGTTTATAAGACATCCTGAAGACTGAATGGACTGAAAAGCTTGAGTTATGTTTTGTGAAAAAACCTGCTCAATATTACTCAATTCTGATTGGTGGAGATGCAAACAATGGAGGGATGTGATGCACCCTGGAGACTGACTCTCCCCCCCATCACCTCTCAAACAGATTTTACAAAAAACAGCGAAAAAACCTTATATTAAAGAACTTGATTAAATTCATGTTTCTTTTGCACATTAGCAAAACATTCCGGTCAAACCTTCACACGATCACATTCGGTGCATTCAGCAAGCAGCTGACAGCCTCTGGAAGCTTTCTCATACTCAGATGCAGCCCAAGGACAATGGAAGGAAATGGGAAGCTCCCAGCACATAGCCAAGACTTCCAGAAGTCTCCCCGAACGCCAATGTGAAGCTTTAGAGCACATTTTTAAGCAATAATTCAGACTTCAGATCTGCTGGAACAAACTTGGTCACCTGGGACGGGGAAAAGGTGGATCCAAAGCGATGGCTGAAGGTAAGAGAATAAACCTCATGATCCGCTCCAGGCACCATTATGGAGCTTTTGACTGGGATCAGAGGGAGGTGTTACACTGGGAGAAAGAACGCTCAGATGGATTACAGAAAGAAACGTATTGCTTCATGACAAAGATTGTTTTAACTAACGACTTATTTGTTTTTATCTCAATGACTGTTTGTCCTAGAAATACAACTCAGAGAGAAGAAGCCGAGAAGTTTGCCTCGGTCCGATGGGTGTGGTCTCTATAACTTTGACGGTATGCTCCCTCAAACTTCATTTTCTGAGAGATCTTGTTAAATCCTAGTAATTACACATATTTGGGTTAAAGTCCAATTTTTAACTATTTCTTATGATTGCTAATGTACCTTTTTTTTTTTTTTAGCTTAGTACGTTTTTAGCTGCCATGTTGTGAGAAATTCCTTTTTTCTGTTGTTTGTTCTCCAATAATACACAAAAAAATGTTGTTACAGCTCTGTAATTCGATAACCTCGGCACGAAGCAGCTGAGTTTTCTATATAAATGGAAATGACTTTTTCTTTGAGTTTAGATAATGAACAAAAATGAATGAACGTCTTTTAAATGAATCAGAAATGTTCTTGTATTTTTGTTACTTAAGTCAAGAGATATAAATCTAAAACAGTCATTTGGATAAATTTCTAATTGTAATATTGCAAAATCAAATAAAAATAAAATTAAGCACAAGTTAAAGACATAAGTTGAAAATAGTAATTTAAAATAGGTGATATGTAATTCAGGAAAAATGAAACACAATATTTCTACAGGGATTATTTGTTTATGTTTTATATATTTTGTGTTATGCCAGTGTTGTCTTCCACAATTGACAACAAGCAGCAGCAGTTACACAAATAACCACAATACTTGTTTTAATCTACAGCCTCAGTTATGACAGTATAAAAAAATATGGAACTGACATGAAAGCAGTAGGATCTGCCATTAAAAAAAAACAAACATAAAGAAGGATTTCACTTTTGAAAACTTAATCCAGTAGTAGAAACTGCATGCACATACATTTGGTGCCTAAATTTACTAACAGAAACAAAATTAAAATAATTTAATGAGATTAAAAAAAATAGAGTAAAGCTTGCAACTCAAGTCAAAGTCTACTTGATGTTTGTCCCTCTGTTGTTTTCTGTTTCCTGCAACTGGTGATGTCAAAAGGTCAGGGAGCTTTAAAGATACAAAATAACAACCAAAAACAAAGGCGTTTGAAGATGTGAAACAAAAACACTCAAAGGATAAAAATTAATGTTAAAACAATAAAAACAGTCAGAGAAAATTAAAAACAATAAACTCTGACCTTCTCCAACAAATACATTAGCCCAAGTCTATTAACTTTCAAATGTTAGAAGCATCACTTTAATATCTGTCCTTACTGCTTCTACTGGAGGCCAGTATGCCAAAAGGCCAGCGCTCTATGTGAAAGGCTGGCAGTGGGTCTGTTATGTTTGCTTTCTTGTACTTTGTGTCCTTGCTTTGGCTGGTATGTGTCAACTTGCATCAATAAATAATTGTGCAGTGCTGTAAGAAATCCAGTTTTCAGCTCCTTAGTTTCTGCTACTGGCAACAAAAAAGAAGTGTACTCTATTGATGTTCTACTGAAATAGCACAAAACTACCGTCCTCACTTAAGCCATTTAACATTTTTTTTTTTATATGAAGTATTAACTTTGCTTTCAATCCGCAGCTTTGGATTTGTCTGGAGGGTTAAGGATCGTCGTGGTGGGCAAGACTGGATCAGGGAAGAGCGCCACAGGAAACACCATCCTGGGCAGAGCTGCCTTCAAAGAAGATCCGAGCCCGATGTCGGTGACCAAGCACTGTGAGATGCAGAGCGGAGAGGTGGACGGGATCCCAGTCCAAGTGATCGACACGCCGGGGCTGTTTGACACAGGAATCACAGAGGAGGAACTGAAGTCCAGGATAGAAGAGTGCGTCAAGATGTCGGTCCCTGGACCCCACGCGTTCCTTCTGGTGATCAGGCTTGGAGTCAGGTTCACCGAGGAGGAGAGGAACGCCGTGAAGTGGATCCAGGAAAACTTTGGCGACGACGCCTCCATGTACACCATCATGCTGTTTACGTGCAAGGATCAAGCCAAAGCAGACAATGCCCTGAAGGAGTGCAAGGAGCTCCGGAGACTTTCGATCACGTTTGGGCGCAGGTACCACGCCTTCAACAACAACGACGCGGACGACCGCGTGCAGGTCACAGAGCTCATCAACATGATCAAGGAAATGGTACAAGACAACGGCGGGAAGCACTACACGAACGAGATGTATGAGAAAGCCCAGAGGAAGCTCAGGGAGGAGGAGGAGCGCAGGAGGCAGGAAGAGGAGGAGAAGAAGGAAGAAGAGAGGAAGGTGTGGGACGAGGAGAGGGAGAAGCAGCAAAAGGAGCGAGAGAAGAAGAAGCAGGTTCGGAGGAAGAACATCCGCGTGGCCTCGGCTGCCGCGGTTGTGTTGGTGTTAGCCGGGGTCGTCATAGCGGTGGGAGCGAACACCACCGTGGCGCTGGCTCTAGGGGCTCCGACGCTCGTCCTCGGGGTTTTATGTGGTTTAGCCGCCATTTGGGTTTGGAAAGGGATAAAATGTAAAGCTAAAAAAAACAGTCCGGTGTAATTAACACAAAATCCTGTCTGTCGGTAGTAATATTACAAATAAAGATCGGATGTAGAATATCTTCCACAAAATTAGCTAATATCCTTTTCTGGTTTTCGGGAAATGTTTCTCAAATGAACAAAGTAAAGCTTGACTGGAAAATGAATTTAAATTAGAAATATTATTTAGGTCAGGGGTGTCAAACTCATTTTTATTTGGGGCCATATCAAGGTCACAAATGTTCTCAAATGGCCAGTTGTGGCAGAATGTATTGAAAAAAAGCTACCCACTAATAAACTGTTAAAATATCAATAAATATCTGTCTCTGATGAGTACTTCTTAAAATTAAATGACACTGAACATGTTTTCACTTTGATGTAATTTGGAGACATACAGATAAAACCGTTTTGATTTGATTGATAAAATAATATTTTAGCACACAATTGTTATCTTAAAAGTTCTATTTATGTGGCCCTCTATGGAGTGAAAAGGGCCACATATGTAGTTACGGCGGACCAGATGTGGCCCACCAGCCCTCAGTTTGACATGTGATTTAAATGATCAAGGCAGTATTTAGTATTTTTTTTTAGCAAAACTGTTGTCGAATTTCACTATTAAATTCACGTTTACACTTTTCAATGAACCTCTTCAACCTACAACCGGAACTGACCCACAGCTGGATCATATTGGACCTCACCTGCAGGTCTTGGCAGCACAGGTGTACTGATGTTCCATACACAATGCTGCTCTTTGAAAAAATTGCACTTGCATACCTTTTTTGGACCATCAGATTTTCTGTGCAGGTGATCTGTTGCTCCTTATTTAAACTGTGACCTGCTGCCATTTCCTGTGCTTTATTATTAGCAACTTGCAAGCTCAAAGGAAATGTGAAACAATGAGGGGAAAATCCTCTTACTTGTAATTTTTTTTGTGGAAGCCTTTGAAACAAATCATAAACATTTTTGTTTCCCTCTCTGTCTGTCTCAGCTTGTAGCAAAAAGTGCAGAGGGTAGAAAATTAGAAAAAGGTCAAATATGCACTATTTTACCTTGTGTTGAAAAAAAATTACAAAATAATAAACATGAATTTTGTATATTATGTCACATGTACAGATCAGGCTATGTGTTACCAGCCTCAGTTTTGTGTTTTGCTTTTCTGTGGCGTTTCACCTCTTGATTCCAATAACAAGAAGAAATTTAAAGAATTAAGCATTAGTTAATATCTGAATCAGTGATCCTGCTGGGAGAAGAAGGTTTAGGGAGTGAAGGATTGTACACATATATTATGTAAAAATGTCATGTTTGCAACAAGAATCCTGGGTTGCATTGATGATAAAACATTTGACAAATGTGATAAAAAAAGCAAACACAGGAAAGATCACAAACGTTTTTACAGCAAAGTACATCCAATTGTCTCCTCTTCCTCTTTATGATGGTAGTTCCTTAGTTTCCAGTAGAAACAGCCACTGTGCAAACTTAATGAGCATGTGACTCATATCTAAAAGACGTGTACACATACCTGCTATTTTGAAATCTGGTCT